TCTGACTTATTCTTCTGTCTTCAGATACTTTAACTTGAATGTATTTCTTCTCTTTCCCTAAAAGGTGTGGAGGGAGGATTAAGGTGTCTTTCTTAATTCTTGGTATGCTTTAAAGGTGTGTCACCTGTATGCATTATGAGATTTCTAGAACAATGGATGTAAAGCCCTTTTCCACAAAGACAGATGCGTCTAAGTGATGGTTAGCAACAGTATGTGCCTGTTGAGAACAATGGGAGCATTCAGATGTGTGAAGTTATTTGGGCATGGAGGATTTCTGGGACTGAGGCCTTGGTCTCTAATTATTGTGATGAAATCTCCTTGAAAGCAAGCTGCTGTACAAACCTGCTGTTTACATATGAGTGGTTCTACGTACTAAACTGGCCATTTTAAGGGGTTCTCAGTCATTGAAAATAAAGCTATTGTAAAACTAAGTTTAGGCCTTGCAACAGGCCATGCAACATTCATAGTGTTATGTACTCAATAATACCCAAAATACGTGGTTAAGTAGAGACACCGTTTCACTAACTGCAATTTTAGAAATTGCTGAACTTCACAACAGATGTAACTGGCATACTCTTGAATATAAAATTGTCAGACAGTTAAAAAGTCAGACACTACTTCACACCAGGTAGAAAAAGAGTAATTTGGAAAGATTAAACTGTATAGACTTTTAGATATTAAATAATAATAATAATAAAAAAAAAAGATTGGCTTAACTAGGTCAGGTTAGCATGCATAGCATCTTTCTCTGCGTCTCTTGCTTAAAAACCCCCCATCTTTCATGGTATTGCAGGGAAGGGAACACACACAGTGGTAGTGGTTATGAACAATGAGAACACAAGCTGCTGGTAACTGAGAAGGGAAAATGACTGTTCTGCGCTTTTTAAGACTAGACAAAAGCCTGTTTGGCAGCCAGTCTGTAAGCAGTGACCTTGGATGAGCTGCTGCAGTTTAATATTAGGTGGACTCTTGAAACTTTATTGACCAAATGTGAGGTTGTATCTGTTTTACACTTCAGACTTCTTGCCGTTATTTTTCCTCATATCTACAGTTTATCAGATAAGTCCTCCAATTATTTTTACCCTTTATTTTTTCTAACTCGGACTGAATTTTAAACTTGCGTAGAAAGTTTGCATGTGCCTTAGTCCAGTGGACAAGTTTAGGCCAACAAGTGAGCCATTTCCTTGCTGTGACTGTGTTTTATTATCAGTTCTAAGACATTCCAGGCCTGCGGTAACCACACCATAGTCTTAAACTAGCAGTGATCTTCCAGACTGTGTTAATACAAGTCCTTTATATCCTTTATTTCATATTCTCCCAAATATGAAGTTGAATTTATAGTATTGTCTCCTATAATTGACATAGAATAAATGCACTAACAATTCATTCTGTAATAATTCTTTCTTAAGGTTTCAAAAATTGTTGTTGTATTTCCTCCTGCTGTGAATGACTTTTTCTTTAGAGCCTTACAATAAGATTACAGACTGTTTCCAGATGCTGTTGGGATAAGGAGTTGAGAGTACTCAGGGATATGTTGTACTTCTCCTTAAATCAAAGTATTGTGGATAATTTAAAGTTCAGAGGTGCTTAGGTTTGTTTTTTCACAGGCACAAATAAATGGTGAGAATGTGCAGTGGCTCTGAAAGTCACACTGCTTTTGGGTATTCAAAATCTTAGATTCAGTTGCTCTTGTTGAAAATGTGATTGGATGAGGCCGCTCTTCAGAAAGCAGTTAGATGTATAGATGACAGCAAATGGAGGTGTCTGTTTAACTTAATAGGAGGCACCAGTATTTTAGAACGGAGTGTCTGTACCTCAAGGGTTCCCCTTGCTTGGAGGTAAGATAGTCTTTAAAGTTTTTAAAATGTATTTTGCTATATGCTATTTTTTTTTTTCCTTTTTTCTCATTTGGTTTTCCATCTATATAGAGATACCAGGATTTTTTCAACATCTGTATTGGAGCCATATTTTTAAGATTTAATATATTGATAGGTCTGTGAAGTAAATTTAATATTTTTTTATATCCTGCTGTGTGCTCAAAAAGATAATTTCCAGTACACAGCTTGTAGCATTGGCTTATAAAAGAAATAACTTAATGAAGAAAGTACTTAGAACATTATTCAAGAAACTAATGCGTTTGAAAACTAAAATAGTTCTCTGTCTGTCACACTTAGAGGTGAAAAAGCATACATAATAAAATTAATTCCTTTTCTTGTGTCTTGTGTGAACGAAACTGAAGATGAGCCTTGGTGCTGCAGGTATGCAGTATTCTCAACTTTCCTGAGTGTGAATAATCTCAGTAATTTCACTGGGACCCCTCAGTTATGGAAGTCATGTGTGTTTGTGTTCGACATACGTTCAAGTGTTACGCTGAAGCAGTCTGTATAATGACTTGCATATTTTCTGCTCTTGAGAGAATTTTTTTTTTCTTTGATGGAGTTTGATAAAAATGAATCTCTGTAACTGAAGTGATGGTGTGGTTAATGAAGGACACATTTTACTGAAGCGGAACACTTAAAGCAACTAAGAATAATAATCAGGGAACAATAATTTTCTATTATGTGCTAGAGGGAAAGAAAAGGAAAAACAATATGCACATCTTACATATTTCATTACAACTGAACTAACTATGGAAATCTCATGTAAAATACTTCTCTTATCAGTAATTGCAAGATAGGACCAGTACAAGATCATACAGTAAACATGAATTAATCATAAAATCACAGAATGATTTGGGTTGGAAGAGACCTTAAAGACCATCTAGTTCCCACCCCCTGCCCCGGGCAGGGCCCCCTTCCCCCAGCCCAGGGGGCTTCCAGCCCCGTCCAACCTGGCCTTGAACCCTTCCAGGGAGGGGGCACCCACAGCTGCTCTGGGCACCCTGGGCCAGAGCCTCACCCCCCGCACAGGGAACAATTTCTGCCTTACATCTCATCTAAATCTGCCTTCTTTCAGTTTAAGACTGTTACCCCTCATCCTTATCCCCACACCCCCTGACCCAGAGTCCCTCCCCACCTTCCCTGTCCCCCCTTTAAGCCCTGGGAGGCCGCTATAAGGTCTCCCCGGAGCCTTCTCTTCTCCAGGCTGAACCCCCCCAACTCTCTCAGCCTGGCCTCATCAGGGAGCTGCTCCAGCCCCCCCAGCATCTTTGTGTCCCTCCTCGACCTGCTCGAGCAGCTCCGTGTCCTTCTGCTGTTGAGGGGCCCCAGAGCTGGCCCCAGCACTGCAGGGGGGTCTCACGAGAGCAGAGTAGAGGGGGAGAATCCTCAACCTCCCTGGCCCTGCTGGCCACGCTGCTCTGGATGCAGCCCAGGACACGGGTGGCTTTCTGGGCTGTGAGCACACACTGCTGGCACACAGTCAGTTTTCCACCAACACTCCCAAGTCCTTCTCCTTGGGGCTGCTCTCCAGCCACTTCTCGCCCAGCCTGTGTTTGTGCTGGGGATTGTCCAGACCAAGATATATGATATATGGATACAGTATATAATAACATCAGTTTTAAATGGAAGTAATTATGTAGCCAGTTTAAGATTCCCTCTCTTTAGATACTGGTTATTTGAAGTGCTTGGGTTTTGCCAAAGCTGTAACAGTTACTGTTTGGTGCTGTATCCCCAGAACGCCTTGGTTAGCATTCATGGGGGTTGTTGCCTGTTTTGTGTACTGTGAGTTTTAATGGCTGGGAACATTTTGTCAGTGTGTAGAGTAATGCAAGCTTAAGTAGGGACTTGTGCTTATTATGTTTTTGTTTTCTTCTCCTGCCTGCTCCCTCCCCTCCCTCCCCCCCCCCCAAGGTTTTCAATATGAGTATGGTTGTTATGCAGTTCTGATACCAGAATAGTCATCACAAAAAATGAGAGACACCAGATCATTGTAGTTAGATATGTAATTAAATTCTTGTTTGTTTTTTGTTTTTTTGTTTTTTTGTTTTTTTTTTTATTATTACATATGTTCAAATCTGACCTTCAATGCTGTAGAATTGAAAGTTCTACACTCTGAGTGGAGGGTGGAGGGGGTGTGAAAGTGAAAGTGGGGTAAGCGAACCCGGTGGAGCCAGCGGTTGGCTATCAGCGGGTTACATTGTTCCTTCACTGGTGGTAATCATTTTCGGTGTTTGAAAAGACTAAATAAAATTACTGGGAGACAGACTTACCCGCCCACCCAGTTATACATGAATTTACCATTTCAAATAATAAGATATTGTAAGTGTTTAAGAAGTCTCAGCTCGTGGGGCTCCAGAAAGGTGAACAAAATGGGGGTAGATAGGTTTTTTTTTCCTTTTTTTTTTCCCTTTTTTGTTTTTTTTTTTCCCCCGGGTTTGCCTTTTTAGCTGAGCCGCTCCCCCCCCCCCCCCCCCCCCCCCCCCGCCTCGTTCACTTGTTGAAAAAGGCTGCCAGTTTTCGGCAGCTTCAGGGGGCGAGCGGATTTCTTCTGTCGTCCTCCCGTCTGTCCCCGGGGCGCTTCCCTCTGCTGCCGGGGGCGGCCCGGCCAGGAGCCCCCCTCCCGCAAATCGCCAGCAGGCTCTTCTCCCTTTTGACGTGCGGAAAACAGACTCCACAATCTGATAGATTGTAAAGTAGGTATGTTTCTTCAGCGCTGGGCACACAGGGGATCGCTCCTCCTAATGTGTGTGCCACCATGTGGCACCGTTGCCTTAGATTTATAGAGCAAATGATTACATATTCATAATATTTCGCAATACGCCTATACATATGCATCACCTATCCCCGCTTCGTATTAAAATTAGCATTTCCATGGTCTCCTCCCAGTTGAGTCTGCGCAGTGAGTTCCTTCGGTCCTGGGCAGGGGTCGTGGGAGGCAGTATCTCCTCTTCCTCAGTGCTGAACTTTTCACCCCGAATTCCTGCGCAGTCTCTGTCACCCCCCTGGACCCGCAGAGCAGGTTTGTGCCGGTTGTGGGGTTAATCTTCACTTACTCAGGGGTGGAGGAGGCTTTTTACTTAAACAGGAGAAAGTGGTCCAGCAACACAAACATCTTCACTTACTCAGGGGTGGAGGAGGCTTTTTACTTAAACAGGAGATAGTGGTCGAGCAACACAAACACAGCAATATCTATCTTGTGCAATCTAAGCAAACTCTTATCTCGACTATTTCCCTTGTCATCCCCTTCTTGCTATTCCCATATTAACCCTTACATCCCCTGTTCCTATCTAGGCCCTGTATCACTTTCCCCTACCCCAACCCCTTAAAGACGCGGCTTCATTTTTCCCGGTGCCCCCCCCAAAAAAAAAAAAAAAAAAAAAAAAGAAAAGAGAAAGCAGCCGCGTGTGCGAGCGCTGTGCCGGGCGGCGCAGGTGTCGGGGCCGCGCCCGCCGCCCGCGCAGCCACTGGCAGCGGCTGCGGCCGCCCCGCGCTGACATCAGCGGCGGGCAGAGCCCCGCTCCTGCGCCCGGGCGGCGGCGGCGGCGCGCAGGCCGCGGCCGGCCCAGCCATGGCAGCGGCCCCCGCGTGAGGAGCGCCGCGGCCCTCCCGAGCCGGCTGGCGGGCCGCGGGCTCCTCGCCCACCCATGGACGTCGCTTCCGATCCGTATCTGCCCTACGACGGCGGGGGAGGGGACGGCATTCCGCTGAGGGAGTTGCACAAACGAGGTATGGCCGAATTCGCCCGGGAGGTTTACCCGTTTGCCCGGCCGGCTGCGCGAGGCTGCCGTTCCGATTTGAAGCGGCGGGGGAAGGAAGGGCCCGCGGATCACCGCAGTGCTTTGTGTTGCCGGCCTGCTGCCTTTTGTGGGAGGAGAATTCGGTTCTGGCTGGTCCCTGGGCTGTCAGCGACTGTTTTCTCTGCGGGCAGATTAGTCCTGCTTCACATCCCCTCATCGCCTTGTGACTCCATCTTCGGTGTGTGTGGTGTGTGGCAGTCTTTCCCTCTCTCGCTCTCTTTTTTTTTTTTTTTTTTTTTTTTTTTTTTAAATCAATAAAACCATACTGTACGCACTCAAAAAAAACAAACCCCCACCAAACTAGAATTGTGGTTGTGACTGACCGTGACCAAATTGGCAAGCTTATTAAATAAGCTATTTTCATGCCTTTCACTAACTTGAATAGGAACAGTGTTTGTCTAGCTTTGAAGTTTCCGTGGGTGCTTTTAGACTTGACTCTCTGTTGACGTCTTTGATATGTGAAGGGAAAACTGTACAGCTGTAATATGTTACTTAAGCCAATATTGATGAGCGCTTAAGAAACTGGAGCTTTGTGGTAGGTTCTTTACGCTGTTGCTTGCAAGGAAGCAGAATTAAAAAGAAAACAGTGTTATCAATGTTCAGGGAAAAGATCCTCTTCTGAGCTTGTCTTTTGTTTCTTACTGCAGATTTAAAGCAGAATATGTTCTGTAAAGATTTGGTTTTGTACTGAGAGAAGTTGTAGTAGGTAGTTGTAGTAAATTAAAGTTATGCCTTCAAATTCTGAGGATGTAAGTATTTTTTTTTTTTCTTGGTTGGATTTGATGGTTACGCTTTGATGTTTAGAAACAGTAAATATGGTAAATTCTTACTTTAGTTTTCTTTAAATTGGTTAATCTAAAATTAGAAAGTTACAAACATTCATGGCTACTAGGAATGGCATTAGAGAGGAGGTGGGTTGAGAATAAAGATACAATTTACATAAGATGGTTTTTTCTTCTTTCAGTGTTAATATATTGTTTCACCTTTCCTTGTAAACTCTTATTTCTGTGAATAAATTAGGTCACACTTTTTACGTTCCTCTATCTGCGTTTCAGTAGTTTACATAAAGGGTTATTTGTTGTCTTTTTATGATTCTTAGAATGTTTTTCAGCATATGCTGAGAATATCAACAAGTTCCAATGTGGCTTATTTTAAGACAAGCAAATTTTTCTCCGCTCAGATCATTATTATATAGCAAGTGCTGGATAGTTCTCTTAAGTCAGATTTTTAGAATCGTTTCTGAGAAATCGAGGGTGGTATTTTCTTAGAACATTTGCAGGGTGTGAATTGGAGATCTTACCGGTGTATATAAATACCTGAAGGGAAGGTGCAAAGAAGGAAGAGACAGCCCTCTTCAGTGGTGCCCAGTGACAGGACCACAGGCAGTGGGCACAGACTGAAACACAGGAGGTTCCCTCGGAATGTCAGGAAACAGGTTTTTTACTGCGAGGGTGACTGAGCACCGGAACAGGTTGCCTGGAGAGGTTGTGAAATCTCCTTCCTTGGAGGTATTCGAAAGCTGTCTGGACGTGGTCCTGGGCAACTGGCTGTAGGTGGCCCTGCTGGAGCAGGGAGGGTGGAGCAGGTGCCCTGCAGAAGTCCCTTCCGGACTCAACCATTCTGTGAGTTTAGATTTGTAGACAGACTTAAAGGTTGAAAACTGCCAAACAGCCTTAATGTTACACTTCCAAATGCTGCAAATTATAGTTAGACATTGAAATGTGATCAGCTGTATATTGTTTCTAGAAATTACCAGATTTTTGTTGATTTTACGATATAAAAAGGTAAACATTTGTAGTGCAGAATGGTGTCTGGCACATTGCTGTTAAATATACAGTTTACAAGTACTGTAATGAAAACAGTTGAGTGTTCAACTAGGTGTTCCCATTGTGGTGGCACTGCTAGGAGCCAGCAAGAGAATTCCCAGTGGCAACTTGTCACTTTTTGCAGTTTCATTGAATTCCGTTAGGGCTTGTAACTTCCTATATTCTAATACTGTATTTCAAAACCAGTGCTACTGGTGCTTCTTGGGTTTGCTATAGTGAATTTAGATAAAAAACAAACAAACAAAAAAAAAAACAAACAACAAAACAACCCATACAGTATTACCATAATCTCTTGCAAATCTTAATTTGTCAAGTGCATATGACTCATAAGAAAATTGAGTCTTCAGACCAGTTTGTTCCAGAGATTTCATCAAAATCTGTGGGTATTTCCTACTGATTTACAGTACCACAGTAATCTGTTATTGCCATCTAGCTATCAAATCAAGGCTTAAAATGCTAACAGACAAACCCAGAAATTTAAAGTAAATTCTTGACATTTCTTTATTATCTGTGAGTATAGATCAAGATACTACCAAGATTTTTTTTTACTCTCATGTAGATTACACAGCATTGTAATAACAAGCTTAAGAGAAAATGGATAAAGATGTTTTGAGAAAACAAGCTTAATTGTTAAAGCCTGTGGAATTTTTTCCCTTATTCAAATACTGACAGCTCTTCTGTCCTGCAGAGTAATGTTCATGCCATGCAAAACTGCTTTGTAACATCAAAGCATTTGTTGCACTAATTGACTGCAGTGTCTCACCCAAAGTGGCTGTACCTCAGCAATGATGAAATGACTGTTTAATTCAGTAGGGGTCTTTGAGGTTTAATTAATGGCCTTTACTAACATTCAGTGAGGTGATATACAAAGTATTATAATACGTTATTATTAAAAGGCTGGCCCGTTGGTTTGCATTAAGAAGATGTTTTATTTTTTTTCAGTGCAAATATGCTGTGAAACATCAAATGGAAATATTTTAAAATATGTATTTATTCATTATGTTTATCTCTTAATGTTGGTTACTCATCATAATATCTATATTTTTTTCAAAGAGATAATTGAATACTTAGCAGGAGTTTCTTTAACTTGCTCTGTCCTGAGACTTCTCTTTGTGGTCCTAAATGTATCATTCCAGACCTCCTTATCCTTCCTGATCCTCCTCACCCTCCCAGGTATACTGAAATAAAACTGCAGGAACACAGTTCACTTCTGCTCTCTTCTCTGCTAACCAAAAGGGTTAAAAGTACTACTTCTCTCTTCAGAAAGAGTTTTAAAGTCCTGATTTAAGATTGCATATGTCATAAGTAACTGACACGTACACTTTTTCATAAGAATATCTTATATGATAAACCATATGCTAGCATATACGTTGCATAAATAAATTATTTTTGTTGCTCAGTTCTTTGCCCTTGGATTTATTTTTGCATCATTTTTGCTAGCTGGGCCCTTTTGAAAGTTCCACATTATTAGTATCTTGCTTGTCTTCCAGCCATCCACAGACATGCTCGCACTCTTTCATTTCCTTCCCCCTCTTTTTTTTTTTTTTCCCTAAAAAAGCATTAATTTTGCCACTCTTTAAAAATCTAAAATCTGAGCAGTAGCAGTACATGTACAGTGGCCAAGCTGCCACTAGCAAAACTTGAGCTTCAGCAAGCATGAGGGTTGCTAACTCCCTTTTATTTATTACATATACACAAGCACATCTCAGGTTTTAGATTTCGGAAGTCCTCAAGCACAATTAACGAAGTGCTGTTCCGCTAATAATCTGCGATTGAGACAGCAGTCAGGAGATGTGAAAATTACCTATTTAAAGAGCACACCAAATTTACTGATGACTTAGCTTTAGAAAACCCAATTTTTGTTTGAGAGGCAAAATAACTCACAGTTTCATTCATCGTGCACCAATCACCACGGCATGTAGGTGCAACTCCTGTTGCTTAGACTATACTATTAACAGTAACATTGGGGAAACCTCACCGCTGCCCCCAGCTTCACCTGCTATCATAAGCTATGGGGCAGAGGATATTTAATAATATCCTAGTAGGAGTTCAACTCAGATGCATACTGAGCAAGCTCAGATCCTCTAAGTGCTAAAAGTTATACTTCTGTGGTTTAGGCTGCATTTCTGTTTATGAGCCTCTTGGGTTTAAGAATTAGTAATGAATCAAAAGCCAATAGAGCCTGAAATTCTCGGTGTGACCTTTGAAGTAAATGGGTGTGAAATTGTGTACACATACGCAGAGCTAGAGTTTGACCCTGAAATTCTATTGGTAGCAGAGGAAGAGTAATCAAAATAATTTTCAGACTAATTACAGATTCATGACAGAAAATGTGATCAAGATTATTGTAGTTGTCTAACATTTAGTACTGAGAGAAACCATTACTTGGAGAAACTCAACATGGTTACAGCACTGAGTTTCTGCTGCACTTTGTTTCAAGGTTTCTAGTATAAAAAGGGGATAAGGATTTTCAATTATGAGTTTAGCATATTTGACTTCAGTGATTAACAGAAAAAACTACGAGATATAACTACAGTTCTTTGTAGGTAGTTACAGGTTATCTATCTGCATGTGCTGTATGACTGATACGGTTCTCTAATTAGGTTTTCTATTAGGCAAGTATTTCTCAATTTTGGAAACCATTTTGAGAGGTACTGTTATCTGAGATATTAGAAAGCTAATGAATAAACCAAGATTATGCCTTTCTTGGGCCTGAACATGGCCTGATTGGGATAATCATATTAGCAGAATTATTATTTTTGTTGCATCCTCTTTGCCCTTCAAAAAAACATGTAAGTCGCTCTTACGTACATGCAGCAGTGCTTAGAAATCTGATTATCTAAATTTCTGTTCTTCTGGCTCTTATTGCCTTGGCCATTGCTAGATGATAGATTACTTCCTTTTTGTCATGTTTGCTATATCTAACTTTATATGTCTTTATACTTTTTATTCTTTGAATCTCCTTCCTGAACTGTTCACCTTATATTGAAGTTGTAAATTCAGTACTATGGGGATCCCTATAAATCTTTACTTGCATATTCATTATGGACATAACTAAATAAATGTAGTCCCTTCTGTGTTTAAGACAACAAGAAAAGATATC